TGCACACGGAATGCACCTTTGCCACCTACACCCTCCTTACTCACGTGTACGTAAACTGGATTGCCATTATTGAGGAGTAAGCAACATTTCGATCCTTGTTCCATCCCTCCTCCCTTTTTCAGATATGTCTTTGGATGACGTGCGGAATTATGAGAGAAAAATGCATGAGAAAACCAACATTAAAGTTTGGCTTGAGCAGCAAGAGACAAACCCATCTTTACTGGATGACATAGAGATCCATGACAAAGCAAGCGTATGTGTCTTTTTTCATTATTTTTCACTCCATTGCCCCTACTTTATCTGATACTTTACCCGTTGGTGAATGAAGATGTCACAATTGCAAAAACGTTTCATCCTTTCTTACAATCGAGCGACCTATTCATTAATTGACTGTTGAATATGTAAAGAATACAATATTAAGTCTGCGTGGTTCTCTAAAGGTTTTAAAAGGTATCAAGGAAAAATAAATTCAACACCAATAGACACTACCAACATTTTGGTAGTTAAAATAACTATATGGAAGCTTTTAAAAAAATACTGCTTTTTTTATTATGTTTTTTTTCCAGCATTGTTCAGACTGTGATGTGTATTTTTCTGGGTGTGCCTCTGGCTCTAATAATGAAAGAGTTCTGAAACAAATCCTTCCTCTTATTGGCCTCTTGTTGATCTTATTTTACATTCCAGACATGACAATGGATGAGGTGAGAGAGTTTGAGCGCACCATCCAGGAGGCTACCAACCAGAAGATCGGGATTTTTCCACCATCCATCTCCATCAGCGAAATGCCCCTGTCCTCCTGTTCCCTTACCGGCCCCGCCAGTGCCCCAACCACCCCCATGTGCACCGATGCGCCTGAGTCCCTCTCTGTCACCAAGGACAGACCCCGCAAAAAGTCTGCTCCGGAAACCCTGACCCTTACCGACCCTGCCCCAAGTGGCGCACCCCAGGGCTCTAACTTGAGCCCACTAGCCGATTCAAACCACCTGGAACCATCCACGCCACCCTCCTCCAGCTCTGATGTTGCTGAAACAGACGAGCAGTAGAGGGACCTTGGGATGTCTTCCCCTACACCCAGCTTCATATACCACCAACCCCATTGTGTTAGTAAACCAATGGGACTCTCCTAACCTACAAACGCCAGTGGCCAGATATTCAAGTTCTCTAGCCTTATCCAATTATTTTATCTTGGACACACAAAAGTCATTATCACAATTGTCCACAACAGTGTCACTGGCAGCTGTAGCTGTCCTCATGTGACTGATTTCCTCTTCCTGTGAGTCAAGCCAGCCACATGTCTCATCTATTATAACCAATCTAATCAAAAAAAATGCATCACTAATTTGTTTTGTTAAGATAATTAATACATAATTGTTAGTGTTTCCTGAATATAGCTTTCTTCAATCAGTCGCGGTCTGATTTTAAGCTGTTAAACTAAGAAGTAGTTGCCTTAGCACCACAGAGCCAGTGGCATTAATTATTTTTGGTGATGCCTGACAAACTGTCCTTTTTCATTCTATAAAATTACCATATGTATTAAGTTTGAAATAAAATCACAAACCAGAGAAGGAGAGTAGACCTAATATGTCAGAGTAACACATGCAAGTACCCTCATAACAGAAAGTAACTGTTTCCTGAGCCATCCAAACTGGCCTGCGGATAAGATTGCACCCATCCATCCCATCCCAAACTCCAATTATACAACAGATGCAAGATCAGTACAATCATGGAGAGCTTACACCTCAGGTATCCCTTACTACCTGGCTCAAACTCAAAAAGCAGGGATATTACTTTACCTTTCTCTCCCTGCTTATTGCCAAACGTTTTATACCTCCACAGATATTAAAATACAACTATTGTATGTACTCTACCAGTCCACTTAACCCGTGGAATGTTTACACATCAGAAACCTTGGAGCATTTGAATATTAGCGGTAACGTTGTTCCTTAAGCTGTTGTTATATCTGCACTTGCGGTTCTAGCATGACAGTACAATGATTCTAAGATTTAATTTGTTGACGTTTATTACTGCATATATGTTAGTCAAGTTGACTGAGAGGTCAGCAAATATATATATATATATATATATATATATATACATATATATATTAAAAGAAAACAAGTTAAGTAAAAACAAAAGTTTAATACTGCCTGAAATGAATGCTGGATATCTCATGTGACATAAACGTGATCCTATTTTATCAAATCACTTTATCGTCATGTGAAGGAACAAGGCCATTTTGGGGAGTTTTTAAGCATCGACAGATCTTTGTGCACAGTAGATGTAAGGACAACTCAAAACTGGATTTGAGGAGAATGGCATATGCAACAAGCTGACATGAGTATGTCCTTAGTTAGCCGCATAGCATTTGTGGAAGTTCTGATCCTTTTAACTTTGCCAGTGCTGGTTGGTGATACTCAGCTGGTGATTTAGTGGGCGCTTTGAAATGGGAACACCCTATGCAGAGCCCTTGTATTTCTGCTGGGCTTATACTGCTAGTTACTATCTGAAAAAGGAAAAAAGGACAACAAGTTATCTTTTAAACCCTATTTTTTTTTCCGCACAATGAAATCACTCAAAGGAAGGGTCTTTACATGCTGCATGGAATGCTCACAACAACATATATACATATTATGTGAAGTATATGTATATGCTGTAAAATAATGGATTGGTACAGTGTATTTGGTCATGCAACCGTATGGGGAAAAAAGTGAATGCCAACTCTGGAAGCTCTGTACTAATTTTGTATAATAGAACAAGCTGATATGAGTGAGATGTAAGCATGACCAGAGAATATAGGCAGACAAACTCTTTCAATTTAGTGCCTCTGCATGCAACTATTGAATCATCAACAACATGTGAATAAACCAAAACCTCATATATTTCATCTATAGAAACACAACATTTTAATGCATTTCTTTGCCTGTTTTCTATCTCAAATTAGTTAGATTTGAGAAAGAAAATAAATCAGCTGCAGCCCTATAATACAGTAGCTGACCTATAATCAGATCCAACCACTCATATCAGACTACATCACCAGACTCACAAGTATCAGGGCTAACTTCTTAGTATATTTTAAGAAATACCTTTTTTCCCCAATATTCTTACACATTTCTTTAAGCTCTACAGCGCAAATGCATTTTGCACTTTCCAGTCTTTTGACACCTTATTTGACAATGAAGAAATGTGTTGCATATTAGTCTAGTTGAGTTTGTTGGACCAAAGTCCTTTAATACAGCATAGTGACTTCGAAGAGAGCAGTACAAGGAGAGAGTCCTCAGTGGTCTTGCCATAAAATATTGTTAATATTATGTACAGTTTCTCACTTGCTTTTGTTAAAAACTAAACAACCGTAGCTATTTATCTGTCTCTGTAGCTTTTGTCTTTGCCTTTTGAGGAAACAAATGTCATACACATTTTTGGCCCTATTGTTCTATAATGTATAGATTATACTTACTTGCAACTCTGGTATCGATCACCACTCTGGTCAGGAACACAGAGATCCAGGGATATGTTTGATCTACCATGGGCTATTAAAAATAATGCACGCTAATATCCAACTATTAAACTGTGCTCTGTTTAAAAGAGCTACATATTAGGTATTGTAAATACTGTTGTTGATGACTGATATAGTAGGTTTCTTACATTGAATCTGTTCCAAGTTGCATTACTGATGTGACATAAATGTGCTCATAGATTAGACAGAGAAGGATATTCTTTAGTGTTTGTGTTTTAAGGCTGTGTTTTTAATCTAGGAGTAATATGTTTCTTTAACTATGAAGTATTGTAATCTATTGAGAATACTGACCTCTGTCAAGTTTCGTTTTCTCAACAGAGTATCACAATTCCTCATTGTAGTGGTGCACTTTTGACTCTCCAGATGCAGTGCAAAAATGTTTTGTACAAGTTTAACTCAAAATGAAGCTTTTTTTTTTTGTGTGTGGCTGCTTTGACGTTTACTTGCCATGGTAATTGCGAGGTGATCGGCTTTTCTGTTGTTTCTCTTTTTTGTATAAAACATGCTGTAATTTGAATTTGTGGTTGCTGTATTGTTTGAAGGAAAATCTAAAATAGTTTCTAATTTTGCCTTTGGATAAAAGGACCAAGCTTTTTGCTACTTGTCCCCTCCCTTTGACGCCCATTGCATTTGACCAGGCTGTTTTGCTGTTACCTGATAACTGGGACCTGTCTCATCAACCAGGATCACTAGTTAGCTGTACTGCTCTGAGGGAAACCAGGAACCGCTCAGTGTACTTCTCGTGGTGTTTGAGATGAGCTGTGATTCTGGTTAATGCAGCTTTCTTCATTAATCCTGCTTTGTTAAATATGCCCCAGGTGTGCCATTCATGTTCAGCTGCTGGAAGTCGCTCTTAATTCTTCCATTTTAACTATTTTCTGATTTGATATATTGTTTCTCCTTTTGAGGTTCAGTTGGTTCTTTGTTGTAATTATTGTTTAACTTTTTCTGGAATAGACCAATAAACTTTACTAGCTATTGCAAATTGTTACTTTTTCTTTATATTCAGCATGCATGTTTCACACAACCCCTTGTGTACATTTATTTGCACCTTGCAAGTTAACAGTATCTTAAAACTGCATGGAGGCTGGTGACGCCTTATATTTGCTTTCTTTACCAACAGTGATATTTAATCAACATGATCAAACCATTTAAAGGAACACTTTTTACACTCACACTATTTAAACAAGAAATCCACCAGTGATGTCTTTTTTTTACCTATATTTGTTTCCAGGTGTATTTTTATTATTTCTGTGGATTTGTGATTTTAATTAAATGCTAGCCAAAGTAGAGTTTATTTTAAGTGTTTTAAATCATTTTATGGATTGTTTATCAAATCTAAATCTGCAACGTAACTAGTAACTATAATGTAGTAAAGTAAAAAGTGTTTTTGTTTCATATATGTTTAGAAGTACCATAACATAGCAATTCCAAAGTAAAGTATAATGACATCAAAATGAATGCTTAGACTTGGACACAGGGCAGCTAAATTACATTTGTTATATTTGTTTTAATCAAGAAATAAATACAACTTCATTAAACACAAAGGCAATATGATTTATTTCTAAATGGAAGAAAACTTCCTTTTTACCCAAGCAATAGTAATTCAAACACACCTGATGGAAATAAATCCAAGCAATACTTTGAGGGGACGCTTAAATCATGTGATTCCCTTCATAATCCATTGGACATCATTGATCTATAATTACAGTGTACTTTTGTATTCATCCCTTTCACTTCCATAGGAGAGAAACCACAACACTGATCCAGAGACAGTGTGATATGCTCAAGGTGTGCCCTCCAGTGGATGTTGTGTTCACTGCAGCTGTGATAGCTGTAAGTGTAGTGGCAACCATCGTTTGTCTAGCCTGTCCTGCACATTTCCCCACATTTCCTACTTTGTCCACGGCAGCCAGCTCTACATTCTGTGAACAGCAGGAGGCGCTGTATGTAGCAACTGTAACGTTGGCCCCTCCAGCCCCAGCCACTGTGCTGGTATTGAGGGTACCGTTCCCTTTGCGGATGGTGATGCTCTCAATACCGGTTCCATTGATGCCATCCGTGAGATTCGCAATTAATGACCACTGTGAGGAAGCACACAGTGATGAAGAAGATGGACAATTGGAGGAAGAACTGACTGTCTGGCACACTGGACGGGTAATATCTGTCACCTGGGAAACAAATAGTGGGAGAGATGGAAAAATAATGCAACAAAACTGGCATTTTATAAACCATTAAGAAAATCAAAACATAATTTTAACATCAGAAATTGTTATGGCAATCCTAACAAATTAACTTTTATTTTTTAACCAAAACTAACACCATCAAATCTATGAATCAAAGAAAATGAATGAACAATGGAGTAAAGTCAACACATACATGTACAATGGCTACCAGGCATCATGCCTTTTATAATATTTTTGCACACAGCAAACTTAATGTAGTTGACCATTAACAATTATTGAGCATATATATATATATTCAGGATGGAAAATGTAACATAGTCTGGTCAGTACTGCTTGCCACCAAACCACCACATTATCCTGCTTTCTTTTTCCTCCTACCTTGGCCACCACAGAAAACCTGAGGACAGCGTAGTTGATGTCAGTGGCAGCTGCATTTTCGGCCTCAATGGTAAGGGTCATGTCTGTTCCGGATGCAGCACTGGCCGGTGCCGTTAAGGTCACGGTGCCGTTGGCTGTGCCTCCATCACCTGATGCTATGGTGATGGAGCTTGGTGAGGTTGAAGTATAGCTGCGGTCATTGTTGGCTCGCACTGTGAACATCCCTGTTGCAGAGTCGTTGACAACTCCGTTGGTGGTTGTGGAGACTGTGAAAGGAACGGAGATGGTAGAGCCTGGTTCTATGTTGGTGTTGCTGGCTTGGGCCTGAAAACGTGAGGAGGCAGTAGAAAGGAGGGAAGAGGGGAATGCAGTCACACATTATTTGTATTGTTACTATAGCATTATCTGTTGAGGGGTGTTTGTCTGTATGTTTGGTAGCCATACATGGATAGAAGAACAGAAAACATGAGAGAAACAATAACATATAACATAATCTCCCCTTGTGATCCCCTGAAAACAGAAGGTTATTGAGCTTACAGTAACAGAGATGCTGGAGGTCTTGATCTGAGTGGAGGCCTGCCTCTGGAAGCTGGTTGCTGTGGACCTGGAGGTGGAGCTGCCATCCGCTCCCTTCATGCGAACCACAAACTCGCCTGCTGGGACTCCACTGAATGTCACCAGGAAGCTACCACTCCCTACAGACTGTGGAGGACAGAACGGTAAAGTAAGAGTATGAGACGCTACTGTTTACTTCCAGCTGCAAATTCTGGATCTGTTTGCTTGTGATATGGTTTATTTGTATCAAATATTGTTATAGTATACAAAGCATGCCTAGTGGAACTTGTATCTGCTGCAGCTTTGCTCTATAGACCAAAACGATCTAACAAGTTTTTGTACACAATTAAGGATATTATGGTATTCAAGATGTCAGTTTTTGGAGAGCATTGTGACCTCTACTACAACCTTAAAAGGCAAAGTAATTTTTTGGTAGAAAAATGGTAAGTCAAAAAGTGAAGTATATAGCTACTGAGTATGGTCATCAAGTGTAATGCATGACCTGCCTGCAATGATCCGTTGACCTCTGTTGGCCCGGAGCTGTCAAACAGAGTGACCTCTGTGACCTTTACTTTGTCACTTCCTGTCACAGATATCATGAGGCTAGCATTACCACCTGAAAGTCATGACAAGAGAGAAAGGGAAAATGGGTGAGTAATTATGTGACAGCTCCTTAGGTATGCACTGTACTGTATGTACATTATAACAGAATATGTTAAGGTGCTGGAAGAGGCAGAATAGTTGTGAGGGTTAAACTCTTTACATTTTTGTGGAGTGTAATCAAATATTTTCAAGTCAGATAATCAGTCACCAGTCAAGGATAATTTACGGAAAAGGAGAAGGAATTTTTCAAACTGTAAAAAACAAAATGTACAATTATTATGAAAGCGGTCTGACCTGAAAGAGGACGTCCCTCCTTTAGGCTGAAATCCCCATGGGCTCCCTCATGAGCTTCCACAAGGTTATAAATGAAGTTCACTGAGCTTTGACCTGATGAACAAACGCACAAAACAGATCAGATTGACAAAAGAGATGTGTGAAATGGATGATTAAAACACATTTTCAAATGTCCTTTCATTGAATTCCCACTGTCTTTGGTGATACTGACTTGTGACCTTAACAGAGTAAGGATTTTTAGAGTTAACACTGATTTCCCATGATCCTGTTTGATTGTCAGTGTTAAGGCTTAAACGACGTAGGTTTCCGGCTGTGGTTATGGTTGCCAAAGGACCGCTGGACTGACTGGAACTCTGAGATACACCTAGGGGGGAAAGAAATATGTTAAAAGAATGCTTTCTAAAAGGCAATCAAAAGAAGGCTTTATTTGAAGGGAATTTTACAAAACCTGTGGGGCTCGTGAGATCAAAAGTGAGAGATGAGGCTCCTGTGATGTAGGCAGTCAGGTTCCTAAGTGATCCATCAACAATAAACGTAAAGTTATCAGGCCTTCCAGGATTCCTCACTACCTGAAAAACTGTCACCTGAAAGAAGAGGGAACAAAACATGACATTAAATACAGACTGTACAGTACCGTCTTCTTTGAGTTAGGTAGGATTTTTCTTGTTCAATGTCTTACCACAGCATTGGCTAATGAATCCTCTATTACACTTGTAGCCAGAGTGAGGTCTGACTTGGTCACCTCAATGGCCTGACCTCCAGAGGCACGGGCAAGGTCACGGTACAGCTGGGCATCTAATTGGGTCATTTTACGAGGAGACACCCGCTGAGTGTTTCTGCGGCGCCGTCGACTCACCAAGACATCGGTTAACATAAAAGTTACCTATAAGGATAAAATAAATGCTTATCTTAGACCTGGAAACATGTCCTCGAATGTTAATGCTTTTGTGTACATCGGTATGTAATGAATAGGCATTAAAAATGAATGGAAAGGAAAAAGTCAATACTTACCACTGACTTGGTGCTCTCTATAATAGCAGTGATGGTGCTTTTCAGATGAGAATCCTTAGCTGGAGCATCAGTGAAGACAAAGATCTCAGATGAGGGTGGAGCAGCAGTCAAGGCAAGCTGCCAATTGTACATGGAACAGGAAAAATACTTTGATTTAAATTAGAAGTTAATTTTACATCTGTTTATTTAACACTAAGAATGACTGGAAAATGATTTTATTTGATCATTTAGCGACTGATATGATATCGCTTTGTTGCTTTACAAAATTGTGTTTTCTAAATGAAGAAATATGGAATTATTGCATAACAGTGAGACACACTTCACCTGCAGTCCAGACAAGCATAACTCTGGGATGTCTCCTCCTCCACTTGCAGACAGTTTGTTGATGCTGTCTTTGAAGAAATCTGCATTGGCTGTCATTGTCACAGGTCCAAACCCTAGGTATGGGAAATGAACATTACCACTTAATCATAAATTCAACACAGTTTGCAGTTTTACAGGAAATCTTGTTGATGCTTTTAGTAAGACACTAAGAGGCAGATTATTCTGTCTCTATATCTTTTTATAATCTTCTCTCATAAAAATAAAAACATGTTTGCACCTGGGTCATTGAAAGGCACCAGTATGTAAGCGGAGGGCTCCTGCTGGGTTCCCCTCTTACTGTCAATGATGGCGAAGGAAACCCTCTTAGCTTCGGCTATGTCATCGCTCATACTGCCTGTGGTGTCAATGACAAAACACAGCACTGAGGACTGGGAGAGGCCCATTAATCTGCAGGAACAGAAGGGAAAGAAAAAAAGTACAGTTGATCACTGGTAATTTATCTGTTAGTCATTAATGATTACCATTTGAGAATATAAGTATTTAGGGACAGCCCAGTAAGTGTCAATATAATGCTTTGCAGGACAAAAGACATCTAGCAGTTCTGGTAAAAGCTGAGCTATATTTGTTTGAAATATGCAAGCTTTCCAGGTGTCTAAGATACATAAATCTGCTGTTTCAACACTTTATCAGTGACTTTATTTCATTGAAAACGTTATTATAATATAACTTCCAAGTGATTAAGGTGTTGGTGGCCCATACCGCAGGAAGTTCTTGTCTCCCACTGCTACTCTGACGTCCTCTAGTAGCTCCATAGTGGCATTCTCAGCCAAATCAGCTGCTTTTGGGTGAAGTGAGCCATGACTGGACCCAAGGTCGTCCTTACTGATGCCCCCCACTGGGTCTTTTCTGCTTGTCCGGTCAAATGATCCACCGTGGCTGCATTTGCCTTGATCAGATAAATTATGTTTGTGATGATACTTATGTTCCTAAAATACTTGACTACAAAAGTTAAATTGTTTCTTAAATTCACCTGCAGGTTTTGCTGGAGAGACGATGTTGAAGTAGCCTGAGGTGAGAAGCCCTTGCTGCAGCAGGTCAGGAAGAAGGTTGTTCTCACATTTTCCTCCAGTACAGTTTCTACAGGTGGGAACACTTAGGCCTGCAGAAAATGTAACAAAAATAAATAATACAAAACTGGTCAGGTTCTTTTTCTAATTTATTTGTTTTACACATAAATTATTTGACACATTGCACTACCTTAAATCGGAGAGAAAGGTATATTTGTGTGTTGATAATGTAGAAGTTCCCCTTAAATGATTACTAATGTTCTTGGTTTGAGAAGTTAAAAGGAAACACAAATCAAGTACGGGAACTAAACTGTATGCTTGTGTGCTGAGTACTTTGTTACTCAATATCTCATTGAGTAACAATGCACTGTACTTATTTCCATAAGTGGTTTCGTATGCACATGCATGCCATGGCAGGGTGGGTGTATGTTAACTGACAAGGAGGCTGTGGCTCAGTATGATAGACTTCGACTCAGGGGATAACAAGTTCGATTCCCACTGCAGTCAGCATGTCGGGCAAGACACTTCACCCCAAATTGCTCCTGTGGGGATTGTCCACAGTACTGAATGTATGTAAGTCGCTTTGGATAAAAGCATCTAACAAATGACATGTAATGTAATGTAATGTAATGACATGTAATGTAACAAGGTGTGATTTCTCAGTGAAGTATAAAACCAAATATATGAAAGTATTTTACCTGCCAGGTTTTCAAGAGGTTGGTCTGGGCTGATCAGAGTGCTGTAAGGACTTTTGTTCCCCAGCTCCACCCAGTTACTGTGGCTGTAAAAGTCCTACAATATGACATGAATCATATTAAACACCACTATTGCTTTGTGTTTAAGATCATATCTTTCACCAAAAGACAACAACTACCCCCACAACAATCTGAACAATGATCATCATTGTAACCTGTAGGGTGTGACAGACTTGTCCAAGATTCCGCCTCCCTGCGACGAAGTTCTCCAGCTTCACACTGGCCTTCACAGCAGCCACACCTTGGCAACATAATAGAAAGATAGTTACGCAGTCAAAAAAACACATCCCCCTTCACTCAACATTCGCTTTTCATGGAACTCAGTCGAGGATGTAAATTCCTATTGATGATTCAAAAGTGTTGAAACCTCATTGTTCAAACCTTTCATTACCTCTCCAACCAAACAGTTTGGTGCAGTTTTTTCGCTGTTTATATAGTGTGGACTTTCCTAGTCTCCTGCACTGAACTTGATTTTCCATTCGTAGAAAAGTACTCAGAAGTAATGGAACTGTGAAGGGCATGGCTGCCTATTTGTGTTAACCAACAGTAAAAGTTAATTGATTTAAGATTAGTGTGACTTAATGTGAAAAATGGTTTTCTTTCAAAAATAATTTCTTTAACTAACAAGCTGGTACCATATCTACAGCAATGAGACCACTGCATTTAAAGCTCCATAAATACAGTATAGAGTCTTTGGAAAACAATGTTCCTAACAAATAATATTGAATGCTTTTTTGTTTCATGAATGTTCTGAGTAGGAAAGCATTGTTGATGTGTACCTGCTGTGATGACATCCCGTCCGCCTTGAAAGGTCTCATCATCAAAATGATGCTTCTCACTCAGCGCAAAATCCACGTCCACTTTTGCATTGCTGAAGTACATATTGGCGATGGATGTTTGGAAAAGGACAGTTGAGAGGAGAGAGGTGGAGGTACCTGTCGTAGAACAGGCCCTTTGCACCTTATCAGTTGACAGGCTGTCATCAATCTGGAGACAAAGACATAACAAAAGACTGACTGCATGTTTTAAAATCTACGGTTAAAAATAATACTCATACGTGCCTTCCTCATGCAGTTTTGCACTGAATAACTCTTAAGTTCATCAGTGGTAGAAATGTGTACCTTCATCTTCCTTTAGCAGTAGTACATATTTGAAAAGCATTCCTAAAACAATAAATAGAATACCAAATACCTCCAGGAATGTCTGTCATACTATTGTCAGTTTCTCCAAATGCTAAACTGATACAATGTCACACTTAGTTATGAATGAATCTACTTATTTACAATTTTCCATTGTAATGTCCAAAGGGCTAACCCTAACCACAAAAGTATAAGAGGACAAATTGTCTTAATGTCACACTATAATAATAATAATAATTAAAAAAAATCATATAATACTTCATACTGATTTTTGAGCCACAGTTGTCAAATGTTCTCTTTTAGCGCAGCTTTTCAACTCACAGTCAGGCGGAAGTCCCGTCCCTCCGAAGCAGCCATGTCTCGGCAGACCTCAGCTGTCTTTCTGAGGACCGCCCTCAGTGTGATGTCACGGTGAGTGGTTGAATTACCATCAGGTGAGAAGAGGGGTTGGAAGCTATGAATGAAGTCTGACAGGGAGATCACCACTGCCACGAGGAACACGACTGTTTGTCTGCTGGCCATGTTGGAGGACAAGGATGATGAACTCTGATGATGAAGAAATCTGGATGGTTACGTCCTCTTCACCTTTTCACCTCTCCAAATTTTCCTATTTTCTTTTTTTTTCCCACTTCTTTCCCCACACCAAAACACAACTGAACACAATAAGGTGATGTATCTCGCACTGTGTTTAGTTTTTGATCTATGGGTTGCCACAACAATTAAAATAATGTGGCCAACCAGAGAGAGGTGACTGGCAGTGAATCAGGTGTATTTAGGCAATCTGTGGCAAGTGAAAAAACCTGAGGAAGAAAGAGGAAGTGAAATCAGTACAAAAAGAAAAGGATAAAATGTTAAGAATATACCAATCTTTACTTGTATTGAAGCAAACTTTTGTATTGTATGATTTCTAAATCGTTGTACAATGCTTGTTAAGTTTTAGGGTGGCATGGAGAATGCTATTTAGTAAAATAGGATAACTTGTTTCTCCTACATTTCAAAAAGAATCCTCACCAATAAAAGGAGAGCATCATTTCATATGCCTCCCTTTACATTTGAAATCAATAATTCACATAATCTGAAAATATGTAACCTCCTAGTTTGAATAGAGAAATCTAATAAGAAAACAAAAACAGCAATTATACATTTAAAAAAATGAAAACAATTCAATATGGATCAATATTAATTAACACCGTGTAAATAATAAAAGATGAATATACAATTTAAGGTCTTACCTGTGTGCTTTTTAGCACTCGTCGTATTCAGTCCCACTATGTCAGCATCTCATGTGAACACTGGACAGATTATATTGTGAGTAGATTTATGTGTTTCCTAAGTTATCTTGAAACTGTAAGTATGTCGATGTGTGTGTGGGTGTGTGCTGAGAGGCGTGCGAGAATGATGAGTGTGTGTCCTAATTCCCTCCCCTTAATGATAAATCACCCCAAAGTTGGCCAGTATGGAAAGTGTAGTTAGAGCAAGTCAAGACAAAAATATTGTCTTGTGTTGCCTCTACCTTGATACAAATGTATCAAAGGAATAATCTCACACACACATACAAAACCTACGTCTGTGTTGCATTGTGGATCGTTGCAACTGGCATGATCATTTTATTGATGTGATATTTTGTTGATGATGCATCCAGTTTCTAATGTTTTTATCTTCAGTTCTGGGTTTATCTGATTGGGATGGTATGTATTTAAAATCAGATAAACTAGAGACATTTTAGACATGTACATGCACAATGGCCCATTGAGTTGATTGCAGGTAAGAATCCTGTCATACATTCAGTAACCCTACTTAACAAGATGTTGCCTGTCATTCATTTATCTCACTGTACATAAACTGAAACAACAAGTCAACACCCTATTTCACATCATGGGCAGGGCTCGGATGCAGCTGACATACTTTGACCTCTTCACTAGCTCAATAGGGTTATTGATATCTTAAAGGAGCCTTGCCCTACTATGACAACAAGAGATTGTGAAATATCAGAGAACATGTGTTTATTCATGAGTGTAACAAAGAATGGTTGTCAAAAAACATTCCTTAATTATGAATACAAAGTAAAGGTGACCAACGTTGGGTAATCTTTCTGAAAAAACAACAATACTCATGGTGTTTTACGGGAATCGGGTTGTGTAATTGGTGCTCTTAATCTATTTAAACTGTGAACTGAGGAACAAATGAACAAATGAACAAATACACGTATTGTAATAAAGAAATGAATGAAAACACAGTATTAGAAATAGGAGGATTTTTTACTTAATTTGAACATGTTTTCTGTCAAGTCCGACCATTTTTACACACGTATCTAAAGCATGGACAAACCCGCTGTCACAGAGAGACGCTGTGATTCCCTCTGTACTATGTGAGCTACACAGGGCATTATTGTATGGTATAATTCAAATTGTGATGACCCTCTGTATAATGTGCCTACCTATTAGCAAAAAAGCGCAGGTTTAATAAAATGTATCATTCCTGATTTTAGTTTCAGGGTCCTGATATTGTTCATTGCCTTAGATGTTCCGTCAAATAATCTGGGTATTCATATGGGGATTTATGTTCTGATTCTTATGTCAAAAGATTGATCAAATAAGATTTATGGATAGACAATATTGACAAAAGGTTGGCAGTCCAAGTGATTTCTTATTTCTTAGCACAAAAATCCTAAACTAAAGACAATAAACTATACTCAAAAATAAAACAATTCAATTTACACTGCTCTGTTGACTATTTTGCTACAAATGAAACTACAAATGTGTTTTGATTTGTCCAATTATTTGTTATGACCTGATTGTATTTCCCAGGCTTACTCACAACATTTCGTAGTGAGTTGCAAAGGCTTGAAACTTGGAAGTCATTGTTTGAGTAACAGAGCACTTTATTACAATTTGGCAAGTCAAATTTGTGAATATTATGTCATGAAAAAAAAAGTTAAAAAGATGTATGCATTCCAAGAATAAGCTAACAATATTTACTTTTACATTAAGTTTTAAACACGGACATTTTGGTGTATGAATGTCATTGTTGCCAACTGTAAAGGTATTAGAATTAGCTGAAATGAAACCTTGCCTGTCAGATGACAACTCCAGCCGTGTAGTAAGAGTCGTTATGTAGAGATGGAGCACTGTATACTGCTTTTTTCTTATGATTTTCTAACACCTTCACAATGACAAAGGGTAGCAAAAGAGATACAATAATTACACAGGCAATGACAAAGATTAGCCAAAACCCATGTGCAGGTAACGCAGATATAGGATGCAACGTATTGCTCTCTATATCATAAACACAGTTTAGGTTGCTCTTCAGTCTGTATAAGACTTTACACCTCTGTGTGTCCATGTATGTGTTTGTGACTCTGAAAACCTCATAGGGAGGAATGAGTACCTGGCTGTTTAGCTGTAATGCTGAGTAATGTGTTATGTCAGCACCGAAACACGTGTATACTTCAAAACATGAAGCGTTCCTGGTAAAATTCCACCCGTCAGTGCCTAATATGAAGGTGCTGAACCGAATCAGTTTGTTAGAGATGTTCAGATTCAAAAGTGTCTCTGTTTGGTAATTCGTCCAGAGACATGTCACCTGGCTGTGCTTCAGAATCTGAATGGCTTTGCTTAAGGAAGAATAAAGGGAGTGTGGCTCAAATGTCTTGTTTAGTTTTCCAGTAATTACTTTAGTATCAAGGTTTGACTTGAAAGGTTGCATCATAACTTTTGTGTAAATGTAAATGGCTGTTGAAAGATGTTTCTCCATATACTTATGTGCTGGCTCTCTAGCTCTTTGCTCTGCGTTGCTCCAGGTTGTAATGAAGTTTCTGCTGGTGTTCCATTTCTGCATTATAGCTTTATCCGTCACAACCGTAGCTTTAGTCTGGCAGTCGTCATACATGTCTTCATTCAGATCATAGGTCACATCCTGCATGATATGCTAAAATGAGGAAAAACATGTAGTTCAATAGTCATCCAGTAGATAGAGATATACACTAAGTGGAACCTTGAACCTCTTTTGCCAATCCTTAACAAAACAATTACAGACCATGTATGTTGGCTACCTGTACTAGTGCAACATTAAAAACATTAAAAACATGTGTATTTGTCACAACACTATTTGTTATCAGAGTATCACAATTTGTATTTATTATTCAAGTCCTGTCAATGTCAAATATGTAGTAAGTAAATAATACGTTTTAAATACCTCCTTAACAATATCCTGCCAGCTGAGAGTCAGATATATGGTGACAAACATGAGCAGTCCCACCAAAAGAACAAGGGAACAAATGGCAGAAGCAGATACAGTTTGTCTCTGACATTCTTGGTTATCCGAGGAAGGCATAGTGCATCTGAAACAGAGGGAACATCTCATGTAAACCAGAAGAACTCAGATCTGAGTGACTGAGCAAAGTCCTACAGTGGAACGGAGCACTGTACTGTAGCGTATATCATTCATCCAGATGTATCATACTGTATTATAAAGGGTCAATCTACTCCCATTTTAATTCATCAAATGATATACATCTCTGCTTTAAAAATATTACATCTACATAGTAATTGAGATGTGTGACTGCATATTAAAGTTATTTGCAATTTACTTTTCACTGCAATCTTTCTCTTTTTAATCCAAGTTTTAAATAATGTGAGATGTTTTGAAATAATTCACCACATCCTGAGCAACACTCCTGTGCAGATTAGTCTTTTATGAAAAATGGGGCTGTCATCAGTCTTTTTCAGAATAAAAAGTGTACTTTATTTTTGTCAACGAAATACAAGACCTTTGTTTGTTTGAACAAGCTACCGAACAGGTTTTACGAGTGTTGGTACATATGGAACCTCCCTCTTGCAATAATAGCAGTGAACTGACGGAGCCAGTGTGGGGCAAGGTTTTTATTTTTTCATTTAACAAATACACATTTACACATAACTTAAGAATATAATGCAAACTAGCAAAGGGGTAAATCAGTTTCTTTCTACTAAATGCTTTTTAAAATAGCATCAAAAGTGTGAAACTACATTTCGCTGTTTAGTGATACATGTCAATCCTGTTAGGTGGAACTAACAGGATTGGCGACAAACAGCAATGGCTCCAACCTTTTCTAAAGAATATCAGGCTGCTGTAGAAAGCCCTCGGCAGGAGAAAAGCAAGTAAAAAACAATCTGGTGTTATATTGTTGGTGGAGAATATAATGGTATTATGATGGTCTAGGACTCATCATATTGGTCCTGGTTATGGTTTATTGTGTATCTCTTTTCATGTCAGCTAAGTTTGTACTTTAACTTGCAGATTTAAGCAAACAAACTGGATCAATGTGAATGCAAACAATGTTGAAGAATTAGAAAACACTTTTTTTCTTTGGTATTAAGAGCAATTTTTCAGGAAGTAAGAGGTTGTGTTTTTCATTTAGATATGACGTTTGGCAGCTGTGGACCAGTGTGCAAGCTGAGGTCACACAAAAACTTGGCAACCCTTTGTTTGCTTTTGGCGGTGGCACTTCTATTAATCTATGACCCATTTCTACTCATCTGGTGGCCTAGGAATCCTGCTGAGGTGGGAGGACAGTTCTTTATTTTACATGCAGCAATACATTAACATTTTACCTGTCTCTTGTGTCAGAAGATGTACACTATATATTCTAAAGCCTTCTGTAAGTGTTGCTCACTGTGGCTTTTCTTATCTGTCCCTGCAGAAAAGTGTTGTTTTGCCTCTGGATATGGCTACGGATTCCATTGATGACATGTATGAGGGTTGCCGGTCTCAAACAGCCTCAGTGATCGACCTGTTTGGCGTGTTTGAGTGGCACTACAACAGAAACTTCAGCATTGCCTGGGCTTTAGTTGAAAGCAGTGCAAAGAAACCTGCCCACACACAGCTGAAAGAAGACCATGCTATCGTACTTTACATGTACACAAAGCTGAAATATATACAACACGTCTTCAACCAAGCAGTGAAAACAGGGAAACACAAGTACAGCACATATACATTTAGGTTCCACTATTTCTACTTCTTCCTCACTGATGCAATTCAAGTTCTGCGTGAAAACCAGACATTGTGCAGAACCACATATCACAGGACATGGGAACTGTTTGACCACAATGTCATCAACACTAACATGCGTTTTGGTGCTTTTACCTGGGCAGCTTCAAGCAAGCAGTCTTTTGACTTTAATGGCAATGTTTCTTGTTTTGAGATATACTCATGCTTTGGTGCTGATATAACACATTACTCTGCTACAAAACAAAAGGGACAGGTGCTCATTCCTCCTTATGAGGTCTTCAAAGTCACTGATGTCCTGACAAACGACCCATGGTGCAGTGTGGTCTACAAGCTACAGAGCACCAAAGCGCCAAGAAGGGATTTGAATTGTATATTGAATCAAAAGCAATTAAAAAGATATGTTGAAGTTTATTTGAGATACTTGTATACATGGAGTGCTTGGATGATGTTAGCATGCATATTGCTGTTAATAATAATCTCTGTAGTCCTTGTACAACGCAAGCAGAAGCGTTTTGTGGCTGTAGTGCTGGGGGCTCTTCTGGTAATGATAGTTATTCTGGTGATATGGAGAGTTGCTATTTGATAAAAGACGGTATCTGGGGTACTTTTTCATGTGTTGTCACTGAGAGAATTTACAATGTTTGAAAGTAATAAGGAAATACAAATGTTATGTCACTGAAACTAAACAAATACAAGAAATAAAAAATACTAAGAAACTCTCAAATCGTTTCTGTTAATTGTTGATATAAACACTAATAATTCCGCTGGAAACTATTTATAGAAAGAGTACATACAGTAGAGACCATACCAAAAAGTTTTTTTTAACAATCTTTGCTTATGTTTAACTAAAATACTCCTTAGGTGTTTAGCTTTTCTTTTCCTGGGCTTAGAGTGTGATTGCCAGATGTACAGAACAATTTTACCCATTACATTTTAACAGGAAGTGAGTTTACCGGGTGTTTCTCAATGTCGAGTACGCTTGCTTGGTAGCACATGTCTTCCGAAGCCTCATCCCAATACCCCTCCTCGACTCCTCTCTTCCCCTCCTCCGGGACTTGACCCGGAAATCGATCAAGACACGCCATTTTGAAGGACGTCCCAATAGCTGAAATGCACACAGAGGAGTCGAGGAGGGGTGAGGGAGGAGGGGTGCGGGAGGAGACGAAAGGGAGGATACCAAGCCCCCAGGAAGTGCGCCGGAGTCTGATGAGAATATTCGTGCTGGTCAAACGGCGGTACTACACTTCCTTTAGGTTGCTGCCCGGAAACACTTTTTCCCATTGACTTACATTGGGAAAGAGTGGTCTGTAACTCGTTGGATATTTTTTTTTAAACTAAATAAACTACCCAGTATGAACGTTTGTATAGCCCTTATTAAAAACATTTGTTCCTCAAGTTGTAAACATGTGCTAATAACGTTATTCTGAGAGTTATTTCCCTCGGCATTATGAACGTGCATCTAACCCACGGGACCGCGCCGCCCGGCACGTTCAAGTTACGTGTTCAGTACTACATGAGTTTCTCTTTACCCATGGATGCACAATAACAACGGACCATATCGCCTTACTGCCATCCCACGGAGCTGTAATAATGGATATATTGCACATGTTTGCTGTAATTCATCATTTGTCAAATATTATACTACATGGGCTGTATGATGTAAATCTTGTACCGTAAATGTTGTATTAAATAAAGTTAATATTACCGACGTAGATTAACGTTCCTGTAGCTTCTTATTGCACTTGCAATTGTTTTAGTTACTTGTGGGCTACTTAACATGAATAATCACAGTTACTATCCTTTTACTCCATCACATTTCAAAAATAAATAGGCTCTTGTTATTTTAACTCCACCACAGTAATCCATCATCAGCTTTACTTTTTAGATAACTTTTTAGATTGATCATAACAGGCTTCAACATATACATTTGTATATATTACCAAGTGGTTTCATGTACAACCCACACAAGTATCATGCTAAATGAAGCTCTGTTACTTGTATATCACTAGATCCTGATGTCAGCGTAATATAAAAGTACATAACGATTGATGTGTAATTTAGCATAATTTACTAGCTAGCCGCTAGCTGCTAACTGCCGCCTCGTTAATATAAATCCAGTACCATGCTGTCACGAACGCGCGGTGCTGTTACGTGTACGCAAATTCACGTGCTTAATGTGAACGAGCCTTTTGGGCGGCGTGGTTAAAGTTGCGCATGCTCTATGAGTGCACATACGGGTACTTCTCAGGCATGCCGGGTAATCTGTGACGTTTCGCTCTCTCAAAAGTTGGGCCATTTTGTCATCATGCGCTAATGAGCAACTCTCATAGGAATGAATGAGGCCCCGCCTCCCACGCTGTATCCAGTTCTTATTATACATCCATGGAGGATACACGCGAGCAGACTACGCGGAAGTGGTTTCACTACTTGCGTATAAAAGCCCCGCCCCCACCTTCACAGCTGGTCGATTTCAACAGAGGAAAACCGACAACTGGAAGATGAGTGGAAAAGCGTCACAAATGTATAAGTGCTCACAGCTCCGTGGGAATTATTATGTGCAATTCATTTCTAAAAGGCTTTCACATTACTATAATTATATTTTTATTTAAATGTAGGCTACATTTTTCACCAAAATGGAACACAAAAGCAGGACCAACCATCATACATTGAATTCCTTGACTAACAAGAGAAAGATTCATTCATTTAAATATTTAACAACAAATGGGCCGGTTCTAAAGGGTTATTCAGTTAAGCCCGATGAGAGGGGATACAGCTGTGCACGTGTCATCATTAACAGACATCGTTTAAAAGTGACGTTTGAGTGAACGAGGCAATCCCAATAAATACCTGAGGACTCCTCTGTCCTTGCATCACCTCCTCGTGTCTCTCGCTCGCATCTTACGGAGGCGGAGCTAAGACGCAAGGAAGGGAAGTGAGTGAGGGAAAGGAGGAGTCGAGGAGGGGTATTGGGATGAGGCTCTTGATTTCAACACAGGAAAACGGAGAACTAGAAGAATGAGTGGAAAAGCGTCACATAAATGTATAAGTGCTGACTGTGACCCCTGCTGTTGTTCATTGATAAGCCTGAAACATGCACTTGTCAAGGTTCAGAGGCTAATTTTGCAAATATGGCAGTAGCCATCGATCACCTTAAGATAAGATATACTTTATTGATCCCAAGTTGGAAACATTTGCGTTACATCAGCATGTGTAACAGTTGTAAATATGCAGTGTTTTGTCAGAGCTTGAGAAATGCAATTCACATCTGGCTCCAGCAGGTGGAGACAGGGAGCCTATGGTGTGATTCCACTGAGAATGTGGCTCAAAAGGAAGAGTGTGAGCTTCCTAATTAAGGAGCTAAATGCAACACACCTGGGAACACACTCTCAGGCAGAGGACAAACAGTTCCCTGTGAGAGAAGAGACTCAAAGATTCGACCAAGACGCTGCTGGTGAATATTTGCAAATGTTTAATCTGTTTGAACCATGTTTGATTTAATGTATTATTATTTCTAGTCCTGAGGAAAGAAGCTAAAATATAAGATGCTGAAATATAATTGACTTTGTTGAAATGCATTTATTTTTGATTAAATGTTAAATTTAATTGTAAATTAAGAAATGAAAGTGCTTGTTAAAAGATGGCATGTTTTTAGTTGAAAATGTTTATGTACCTAAAGTGAACGAAAGTAATGTTTTGTGTTAAAGGTTTTCAACCTGAATGATCAAGAGGCCAACAAGAGGCTAAATGAAGAAATAAGGAATCTACCACACTCAAATAAAGAGAAAAAAGATTCAAATTCGAGTTGTCCTTCTGGAGTGAATCAAGCCATTTTCAAGTTTAGGCAGGAGTCAATAAAACCAACTAAATCACAAATTGACAGTTGAAAACCATTGCCAAGCAATAAGGACTAAAGGACCAAGAGACTGGAAAAGTCGGAATAAACCAAACTGTCTGCAGTAACCACACACCTCAACAAAATGGCGGAGGAAGCCTATGGGAAAAGTGTCAAGCAGCTCAAGCAGGAGAGGACAATGGCTAAAGGAGCATTCACAAAAGTAGCTAACTTTCTTAGCAGAGGAGCAGGAAGCATGACTGAAACTGAGCTTCGGGAGGAATTCAAAAAGCTCACTTTGATGGGAAGAAATGTCAGTGAAGCAAATTATGACTTTCGGAGTGGCCTACTCGCAGACATAGAAGCCAGCACTGCTGAATAGGTGGAAGAAGTGCTTAGCGAGCAACAGGAGGCTGACATAGAGAAAACTATCAATGAAAGTGAAATCAGAATGAATGAAGTGAGAATAATTGTTCAAAGAAACCTGTGGTCTCGTTATGGACAAAAGGAGCTGGAAACCTCAATCCAGGAACGGCTTGTGATAATGCTGCTGAAACATCTGTATCTGCACTCAATCGGGATGGTTATGAGATGCAGTTGGGTTTCATGGAGAAGCTGATCAAGGAAGCTAGTAAAAACCTAGCATCTTGGGAACTGTGGATTCCAGAGACTGAAAAAGGCTAATCTAGAAGGCAGAGTCAAGGACTTAAAGTCTATGAATAACAAGCTTGAAGCAAGGAGAGCAGAGTTTGTGTTTGCACAAAGAAATTCAGAAGAAGAAAATAGTGCATATCTGCTGACTTTAACGGCTGCTTCATCAACCCCACATGCAACAAACACCACGCCCTTGGTGAGAATTAAACCAATTAGTCTGCCCAAATTTCATGGCTGTAAAAGAGATTTCCACAGATGGAGGAGAGACTGGGAGAGCCTGCAAAGACAGGGAGAACCAACAGGCTCGAGTGAAGTAAAAAAGATTCAGCTTTTGGACAGCATGGATGATAAAATCTCAAGAAACCTCAGACTTTCAACATACAATACAGCAGAGAACATATTTAGAGTGCTTGAGAATAGATATGGGAATAAGTCTACAATTGCAATAGAAATAATTGAAGATCTTGAGAAAATTCCTGTTTTTAAGAGCAGATCAACCAAGAAGAGTCATCGACTTAATCCAAACTGTGGAGAAAACACTGGCAGACCTGACAGAGCTTGGAATGACAGATGCCATCAACAACCCACTGGTCACTAGGTCCATAGAGAGCAAGCTGCCGGATCCTGTTAAGAAGGATTGGCTCGTCTTCATGGTAAATCCCAGCAATAGAGTCACCCCTGAGAACCATTTTGACAGTCTCCTCGAGTTTCTGAAGACACAAGAAGAGATATTGGAAAAACTGGAGCAGCTTGGAGTAACTGAAAAGTCAGAGAAACCGGAAAGGAAGTTTGAAAGAAAATATTCCTCAACACGTTCCACCAGGAGAGACGGACGTTGTATTGTCTGTGGAGAAGAAAGGCATGAAGATAAACTATTCTTTTGCAAGCAGTTCAAGAGCCTAAATCTGGTCGAAGAGTTAGATGCTGTGAAGAGGTTGGGAGCTTGTAAGAGGTGTTTGAGATGTCATGAAGAAGGACATGAATGTGTAAGCACCTACCTTTGCAGGAAAAGAGAATGCAAGAATTCTTAAGGGGAGCTCTTCGGACCACCACTTTTTCCTCTGTCCTAAAGGAGAGTACAGAGAACGTGAACTGGACAAAGGTGGGAAAGACTGGAAGAAAAGACCCAAACTCACAGAAGAGCAAGTGAAATTTATTGCTGAACTCTCTCCCGAAATGGCAGAAAAATGCAAGAACGCCTTTTCCAATATGACTGCAATAACAAACTGCAATGAAAA